TGAATTTACCTAACAACACCCCTTAGCCGTTATAAATTCACTGTAAACCACGGCTTCACAGGGATTATTGCTTTATTGTCGTAGTCCTGTTTTGTTGAATCAATGAAAGCAGTTAAAGCTTCTGTTTATAGGGATTTCCTCAGCGTGAGAGCGCCCTCTAGCCTTCAGATGGAGATTTACTACAAGATGCACATGACAATCGCAGCTTTTGCCTAATCGCGATTGCGATTTATCATGCAGCCCTACCCTTAGTATAAGCTTGGTAATTCTGGTTCAAACGGGCTGAGCTGCATCTGTACCTGAGAGCAGCAGAGCGATTCCTCCGCAGGCGTTCGGAGAGGACATGGAGGTGCCGTTCATCAGCTGCGTGCCGCGGAGCGTCCAGTTGGGCACGGAGGCGATGGCTCCGCCGGGGGCGCTGATGCTGACCCCCAGAGCCCCGTCTGTACTGGGGCCGCGGGACGACCACGTGTACTGGTTCGGAGGAAGCTTCTCTCTCAGAGAGTACTCGGCCATCATCATGTCCGGCGTGACGTAAGCGCCCACACCTGCACATCAGGAACCATCAAACCAGTGCTTTCTGACTGCATGATGTGGCTAAACATGAGGGAATTCCCTAATGCTGCCTTCAATATAATTAAGGTATCAAGTATACACTACCGGTCAAAAGTTTGGGATCAGTAAGACTTGTAATGTTTTTTAAAGAAGTCTCATCAAAGCTGCATTTATTTGATCAAAAATACAGAAAAAAATGAAATATTATTTCTAAAATATCTAAAATAATTTTTTTCTATTTTAATGTGATTTGTTTTTCAGTGTCACATGATCTTCAGAAATCATTCTAATATGCTGATTTATTATTAGAATTATCAATGTTGTGCTGCCAAATATTTTTTTGGAAACTGCAATATTTTTCCAGGATTCTTTGATGAATAAAAAGTTAAAAAGAACAGCATTTATTCAAATTATAAATATTTTCTAACGATATAAATATTTCCATCACTTCTTATCAATTTAACACATCCTTGCTGAATAAAAGTTTTTATTTTCTTTCAAAAAAAGAAAGAATAAAAATGTACTGACCCCAAACTTTTGAACGGTAGTGTATATTGTTAGAAAAGATTTCTATTTTAAATAAATGCTCTTCTTTTTAACTTTATATTCATCAAAGAATCCTGAAAAAAAGTATTTTGGTTTCCACAAAAATATTAGGCAGCACAACTGATTT